AATGCAAAAAGTGATCCAAAGCAGTGACAGCAATGAGAGATACAACCTTGCCCCAGTATTTAGACTAGCTTGGTTACAAGACACATGAGCAGCTTTCTCCTGATTGGCTCAGACAGCAGGGCTCACAGGGAAACCAGTGCAAAAGTGGTTGCCACTCCACGTATAGCTGAAAGAAACCAAAATCAGACTTTTTGGCTGCACCATGTTTTGTTGCAGCCAAAAAAAAAAAAACCAAAAAACATGGCCGCGCTACCTGTGCCGTTATGGGCAATCCAACACCCAAAAATGCAGAATCATCCAGAGCCTGTTTTGAAAAGCAGAGTGGTGTACAGCTCTAGTGGCCAATGAAAACGGCTCCATTCTTGTTACAATTTATGCTACAATAAAAATATACACATCTACTGATAATACAGGATGCCTAGGTCAGATGACCCATATCATACATCACTAACACACTTCCAGCAGGGCAGCAACACATGAACAAATCACTGTTGCAACACAGTACCAGATGCAAGAATTTGTTTTATGTTGAGTAAGACAGTTGTCTCATCAATGAGATTTAAACCAGAAGTGGTTTTCCTAAAACCTCAGGCAAAGATAACTAAACATTCATTTCCAAAGAAACTGGAAGCAACATACCACAAGTAATGATGTTGCTTTCATCATATTATTCTTTTGAGTAACAAGGAGAAGCTCCATAAAATGAACCATTTCCCAATAGCAGAAATTCCTTCATAATAGTAATAATAATAATAAACCTTTATTTATACCCCGCTACCATCTCCCGCAGGACTCGGTGCGGCTTACAAGAGGCCGAGCCCAAATACATCAGAAACAAAAAACACAACAACAACAATACAACAATAAATAACTCATAGCAAAGCAAAACAATAACAAAAATCACGACGCATTTAAAAACCTGTGGCAGGGCCAAATGTAATGGTTAATTTTTTTAAAAATGCTGGGCATGTCCAGGTGAAATAGGATGGATATTTTAGGGATAAGTGGGTGTGCAGACAATTCTAACTCTCTCGTAAAGTGCATTTGGGACAAATTGCTTGGGATACCTCTTTAATCTGGGAAGGCACACTGGAACATCCATGTTTTCAAGCTCCTTCTAAAAACTGCCAGTGTTGGGGCATGCCTGATGTCCTTGGGGATGGTTCTAGAGTCGTGGGGCCACCACGAAGGCCCTGTCCCTCGTTCCCACCAATCGCGCTTGTGATGCAGGTGGGATCGAGAGCAGGGCCTCTCCAGATGATCAGAGAGATCGTGTGGTTTCATATACGGAAATGTGGTCACGCAGGAAGGAGGGTCCCAAACCGTTTAGGGCTTTGTAGGTAAGCACCTGCACCTTGAATTGGGCCCGGAAAATGAACGGCAGCCAATGGAGCTGTAATAAGGATTAATGACCATTCCGCTGTTGGCAGGGGGGGAAAACCTTTCTATCCCACCGCTGCCATCAATGTAATAAAGATTAACGGAACGAGGTGTCCCTTAACACACCTGTGTGACAGGAATTTGCTTGAGGGAATAACTAAAGATATTAGAGACCGATGATTCTGGTAGATGTTTGCCGCCACCACCTCAATTTTATTGTTTGAGGAAACAAAGGTGTGAATGTGTTAGAGGTAATATGCACCCTGGCTTCAGGTTCTTCTTTAGGATCTCCTTTACTTGCTGACTTGACTTTAAAGAGGTTTCTAGGCTGACTTGGTTTTGCTGAGTACGACAGACTGAGGCAGACACCAGTTAAAGATAAACTAATAACAGGTTTATTAAACTTTAAGAATATGTCAACTCATAAAATGAGTGGTACACACGCATAATTCTGTTACTGAGGCTTTGGCTTATTAGATATGAGACTTCCACAAAAGGTGTAGCTTTAACTTGAAGTGAGTTCCCTTCTCCACACTATTCAACTCTTTGAAACAGTGTGTTCCTGAGATCAGTCCCCCTGACTGTCCCACAGAGTAATCAGACTTTCTCCAATCTACTCTTCAGGGCAATAAGCTCTCTTGTACTTTCTATTAATACAAGTGGACAAGTCTTCCTCACTGACCCTCCCAGTACAGTAATATTGAAGCCCTTGTCCCTTTCTTATTCCCTAACTGCTTGGCTCACTCAAAAGCTTYCTTYTCCCTGTCTAAATCCTTCTCTGCTAAAATCCTACTTCTCTCTYTGCTGTTAAAACCCTTCTCTCTSTGTGATGTTAAATCYCTTCCCTCTTCTGTCAGAAGTGACAGCCTTTTYCCSTCACACCCAACTCCTCCCCTTGGTGCTTAAACCAATCAGGAGTTGGCTGACTCCTCCCCTGCCTACTTGCCTCTCCCAAGATGTCAGRTCTTCTAAGCTTCCCTATCAAGATGGAGACYCAGCCCACTGACTCTTAGGCTTCGGCCTAGCTGGCAAAGGTTAGATCTATTACAGGARCTCCTTAAATAGGAGGGTTGATCTCTCCCTRTAAGGAGAGAGGTCATCTCCCCCATCCTTTTGAGAAGTTATGTGGAAAGAGAATTTAGGCCTTGATATATGTGGTTTTCTGGATATGTGCAAGAAGACTTAATAGCCAGGCCAACATCACACCACTCCTGTTTCTAATGGTGTCCTGTTTGTTCACTAGATGGACTTTATCGCACAAAGCCAGACTCCGCAGCATTCATGCGATCATAGATACCAGCAACATCCAGGATTGCACCTATCTGTAGTCATGCAAAACCGATAATTTGCCAATATGTGGCCTTGCAACTGTAACTTTATCCTCCCACAGTTTTTCTACTCAGTTTTTTTAAATGATAAAAGTAACTTTGTAATTCAAGTGTAGTTTAGTTACAAAAAACAAAAAAAGTCTTTAAATCTTTAGTATTTAAGGAGAGTGTGAAAGGAGGACAATCCTACCACCATGAATCACTTCTGTGCTGGCAGCAGATATATTGCATGATATAAGTGTTAGCAGAGAGTTGCTCATATTAGGAGAAACTATGAGGAACAGTTAAGGAGCAAGATCATCAGTCAAAGTTACAAAAACTTTATTCAAAAGAATTGCATTACTAATTGTTAAGAGACTAAAAATCCTTCCTCTAACTAGGCTAAGCTTGATCTGGGAAAACAAAGGAATGGAAAATTCCAAGCAGGGGGCTGGAAACTTGAGTAGGGAATTGCCCTAAGAATATTAGTCTAAACATCAAAGGTGGGGGCAGGACAGACAGAAAGAGACAGTGAGTCAAGGGATGGGCTTCCCTACCAAACTCTCTACACCTTACCATTTGATCTATCCATCTCCCATTATTTTCTTAAGTAGAGCATTGTTGAATATCCACAGTCAGTGCCAAGACCATGGTGCATTTTGGGGCTACTGCTGGGTTTTTCTGTGAATAGCAAGGGAGAGGTGGCTGACTGGAAACAGGTTGAGCCCAGCATCATGCTAAAGGAACCATCATCAAAGGTAGCAGTCCTGTTTTGCTGCTAATTTGCCACCTTTGTGGGATAAAACACTTAAAATAAATGTGAAAGATGTGGAAGGTAGCAGGGGGCCTTATCCACTCAAAGGGGTTCTGAATGGTCCAATTCAGATAATATTGAAATAGCCTATTCTCTAAGATTACTTTCTTTCTGTGAAAATGCCAAGATAACACAGGAAAATATGTGCACCTTGAGATTTATTTATGGTAAAGAATCTGCCTAGGGCATTTTCCTAAGGGTTGATTTTTTTTAATTAACAGGGCTATTTTAGGAGGAATGCTTGGCTTTAGAATAGATCTAATGAAAGTGCCTCACCTTTACAGTGTGGCCTTAGGAAGAACTATTTATTTTTCTGAAAACAGTTTTATTAAGTTCAGTTAAAGGTCACAGTTCTGGCAGAGATGGAGGAGAGGTGACGTATGCATTGCAAAAAGGGGAGAATGAAGAAAGATAAATGAAAAAAAAAAAACCAGGAAAAGTGTCTTCAAAATGCACTGGGACCTGATCCTACCAGTTTTGCTCTGAAACTAGGCATAGTTAGTCAAGAACTGAAAAGGAGTGTCTTATATGCATGGCCCTTCATGTTGTATGTTGACTTCTGTCAGCCCCATGCATTTCACAGGGTTTTCTTAGGTAGGGGATACTCAGAGATGTTTTTGCCAGTTCCTTCCTCTGAAATATAGCCCATAGCACCTAGTATTTGTTAGCAATCTCCTATTCAGGTATGAACCAGGGTTGATCCTGTTTAGCTTCTAAAATTGGACAGGACCTGATGCCTTTGGAAAAGTCTTGTCCTGATAATTAGCACAGTGAAACAAAAAAGGAACAGAAGCAACACACACTTGCTGGAAATAGATTCCATCTCCATTCCATTAATGTTTGGTTGCTAAGGACAACTCCTCATTTCCAGCTGGGTTGATTCGGATTTTAGCTTCCACTCTTTGGACAAAATTTCACCAACATTCTGTTTTAGTTTCCCAGTGTACATCAACAGAAGACCCAAATATTTATTAATATTTATCCAAGTCTCATTTGGGATTTAGGATCTTCAGTGTGTTAAACTGAGTCTGAATCAAATAGGGGCCCAATCTGAATTGCCATATAAGAGTTTGAAACTGAAGTGAGTAGACTTTTGCTTAGCCTGCTCATACATTCCTGCCCTTTCATGCTGTTGTACATTTGGTTGCTGGTTCCATCATTCTGGCTTTGAGATAATGACGTCCACAGTAATGTATATGTATCTACATAGTTTCCTAGTTCACTGGAACCCATGAGAGGCTAGTAAAGGCAAATTTAGTTTATGATTCAGAATCATGGCACTGAATTTAACATAATACTTGAAACACCAATGGCTGCCAAGAATTAGCTTTGAGGGCTTGAGATGAATATATCATGAAAATGTCAAAGCCATCCTTAGCTGAGCAGTGGTAGGATGATGCTCCAGATAGTGCAGGCATGGGAAAATTCAGGCCCACAGGCTGGACACAGCCCCTTGGGCTCTTTCCTCTGACCCTCATCTGCCTTTGCCCTCCTCTCAGCATGTGGATGCAGTGGAAGGAGAGGGGCCAAGGCAGAGACATGCAATTGCCAAGAGCTCTCCAGAGAACTCTTGGCAGCCACGTGTTTCCTTCTCCTCTCAGCCTGTGGATGCCATGGACCATCGCATCCACAGGCTGAGAGGAGAGCCAGGGGAAAGATGTGTGGTTGCCGAGAGCTCTTTCTGTTGCACACCAGGGCTGGCGTGGACACCTTTGAACCCGTAAACACACCAATGTTCTTTAATAAGCAAAGCAATTTATTGAAAATTAATATAGCAATAGTCAAAAAGGTAAAAAGCATTCAAATAAAGAAAAGGTAATGTCCACAAAATCATCAAATAAGCAATGTAAGAAAATCCAATCCAAATCCAAGTCAGGAGACAAAACAGTCCCAAAATCCAATAAGCAAATCCATAGGAAAAAAGTCTTTCTTTTCCAAAGGTGGCAAAGGCAAAAGTCCCTTGAAGAAACAGGAGCAAGCTTGAATCAAATAATCCAAATGCAATAGCCTGAAATCAGGATAACCAGCTTACAAAAATCTCAGCATGAACATGAATACAAGGCAAGAATATTCATGATTCTCAGCATGAACAAGAAAGTATGAAGCAGGCATGAAAACCAAATGTTGGACTCACTGAAGAGTATAGATTCACAGGAACTATATTTATTCAGAAAGCCATGGCAAAAGCATTTCGTTTCTCTCTGGAAACCTCTCCCTGACCCATTTTTTTCTCTTAATCTTTCAGAGCATCTTCTACCCCCTTCCAGGTAGCGATGCTGATTGATTTGACTTCTCCTATCAAAGAGTGTTTGGTCCTCCCTCGGCTTGCCAATTAGTATATTCCTTTCACTATCACTCTCTGGCCTTGGCCGTTCAACCTTTTCTTCGGCCTCTTTTTCTGTTAGCATCAAAGCATCTTTGCCTTGGGAACCAACAATCCCAGAATACTCTGGTTCACTCTGGCTAACTGTACACTTTTGACCATCATTTCTAAACACAAATCCCTGAGAGTCAGCAGAAACCTGGTCATTTAACTCAGACATTGGAACCACTGCAGACTCCTGATCAAAACACTTTAAAATAATACAATAAGTAAAATGAAGAACAATTTTAACAAATATAAACTTATTAGTATTTCAATGGGACGTGTGGGCCTTCTTTTGGCTGTTGAAATAGGATTGTTGTTGTTGTGTGCTTTCAAGTCATTTCAGACTTAGATTGACCCTGGGTAAATGACCTTGGAGGGCCGTATCCAGCCCCTGGGCCTTAGTTTGAGGACCTCTGATCTATGACTTAAATTGTTGCCGTTCAGATTATAGTTCTTAAAGCACATTGAGCCAGTCTTTGTACAACTATGAACAAAGTTGCTACATTGTTGAATCCTGAACTAAGCCACTGTAGCTTATTGGGCTCATGTAGTTGTGCCTGATGAAAACCATATGAACTGGCAACTTGAAAGCACATAGATACTAGGCTTGAGCATGGATTCATTTTGGTCAGTTCCCTTCAGCCAATCTGGCTTGTTCGGCTTATTCAGTTGATTGTAATGGCAAGGGCTCAGCTGCCTTTTTTTTTTTGTTGTTGCTTAAAATGGCCATGTAATTGCTGGGTGTGGCTTCTTCTATTTGGGAATATGTGGCGCATGCTTCCTTAATGCCATTGTTTAAACCCAGACTCCCTTGAAACAAAGAAAGGAAAGGGTCCCAGGAAGCATGCTTCCTTAAACTTTGAGTCTCTTTTAAGAGAGTATAAGCAGGATACAAACATGTAAAGAAATAAGCCTTGTGCAAATCCTATTGAACACACGGGCCTCGTTTAGTTGGAGCTACCAAGAGTCCTTAGGGTCTCCCACCTTCCCTTCCCTTTTTCCTCTCTGCCTCTTGGGAGAAGCAAAACATCTGGACTGGGCTTTGATGTGGGAAAAGAAAGGAGAACCCATCAACTTCCCATTCACCCTCATCTTATTTAACCCTTTTCTTTCATCTTTTTTTAATAAAGGGGAATGTGAAATGGGGTTCCCTCCCAAGACCACACTTCTGCCCTCCCCATAACCCTCCCCATGGGTTGTACTACACCTCCCATTGCCCATAGTAGGAACAAAATAGTGTCCCACCCATCGAGCTGGAGTCTGCAAAAGAGCAAGTCCTTCCATATCTCGGAATGCATTCCCTCCCAAGATTCCTTCCATTGTTCTTTGCAATCTCTCCCCCCTTCACCCCCCTTTTGGAGGAGAAAGACCAGTGGTCCCCTTTCCCTTCTCCAACCTGGTGCCCTCCCAAAGTGATCTGGGTGACGGCGGCTTCCATGCTATGATGGGAACTGCAGTCCAGAACATTGAGAATTCCCTTAAAAGGTGTTGTCAATGCCCCTCTTCCTCAAAAGGAAATTAAAGTTGGGGACCCCCCCCCCCTCATTCTAGTCTGACCCCCAGCTTTTCCCAACTGCGCAAAACCCCGTGCAAGAAGCGATGGAGCATGACAAGAGGTAGAGAAAGAAATGATGGGAGAGAGAGGGAGAGATAAGGAAAGGAAAAAAAGAAGAGCCAGATGCTGAGAAGTTGGAAAATGAGGCATCTCCCTCTGAATGGGGATCAGTCTGAAGAGAGGAGACCCCCTCCAGTCCCCATTAAGCCCCTCTTTTTAAATCTCCAGGACCCCCTTTTCTCCCCTCTCCCGACTCAGACCTCGCTCATCACAGGGAAAGGAATGGGTCCCAGGAAGGGTGCTTTCTTAACCCTGTTGCTCAAACTCAGGCTTCCTTGAAAGGAAGTTAGGAAAGGATCCCAGGAACAGAAAGGGAGACTTCTAAGTTCCCCATTGCTGCCAGTTGGTCGGATCTTCCTGGATCTTTCAGCTGCCTAGCAAAAAATGAATTTTTCTACTAGCCATTTTTGGGAGGTTCCTGAAAATGGATCTGGGTAGCCAACAAAATTCAGATACCAAAAATAGATCACCCTCCATCCGAATTGCACAAGCCTAATAGATACCTAAAACATGGACAAAGGTCAAAACTTTGTACAAGATTAAAAGTATCTTTGGACAGATCCTCTATTTTTGCTGTGATAATGCAAACACTATGAATATGCATGATGATGTTATGGTGTAGTTGCTTGAGCATTAGGCAATGATTTTGGAAACCAGTGTTTGAAGTCCCACTGAGCCATGAAACCCACTGTGAGACCTTGATCAAATCACACTCTCTCAACCTCAGAGGAAGGCAATGGCAAACCTCTTCTGAAACCCTGTGACAGGTTTGCCTTTGGGTCCTGATAGGTCAGAAACTACTTGAAGGCACACAGTAATATGAACAATAGATATATAGTTTATTTACTTTTCTCACCAATATCCACTCTCATAAAAAAGTGCACTGATTCCAGCTCATGGTGTCCTTATTCTTCTATGCAGGTAAAAAATTAAAAGAAAGCAATCTTGTCTGAAAGAAGGATGGGGACAGAAATATGTGAAAAACTAGCTGATCAACAAAAGTAGAAGTGTTAAACTATTCTGTTTTAGTCTCAAAATCTACATATAATATACCGTGACCAAATAAACTGTTAGCCTTGTTTTGTAAAAGGGATATTAAGCCAGAAACACCAGCCCGGAATGTCTGCTATAGACTGTTTTGTTTCTTGAGCAAACAAAGCTAATCTTTGCTCTGATGTACTGGCAAACAAGATTTTTGAGATTAAGAGGATGCCTCCAGAGGTTTTATCCCTTCTCTCTTAAAAAAGCCCTTTCTGGTTGCTGGGGCATGCAGCTGAGCTTCCCCCCGAGCAGATGTCACTAGAGAATGCAAACAAAACAACCTCTGAGATTGAAGGCCTGGTCTGACCTCTTAAACTTGTAGATAATGAGAACAGTTCAAGGAAGAAGGATGGACACAACAATCAACATCTGTGCAAATAGAGGGGGAAAGGGGATATGGGGCCCTATCCGTATCTACTTTGAAGTGAATGCTATTGAACTCAATGAAATATTTATAACAGTGGTGGGAAACTGGTCACGTCCAGTGGGCAATTATCCTGAATTATTCAGAAGGTGCATGGATTTCTAGAAAATGCAAAAAACAAAAAAACAAAAATACACTTCTGTTTTTGAAAAAAGTAGTTTTTAATTTTAAAATGTTGCAAGTTTCTGCGATTTGTTTAAAAGTTGAATGGCCATTCTTTGAAGCTTTGAGGCAAGACAACTGGACACTTTCTTTTGGGGTTGCAAAAGGCTTGCTTGGGCATGAATTGCCCAAATTACTATCTGTGCAGTCACCACCCTTCAGAAACTATTGGTGCATACTCTCCAACTGCCCTGAATTGCTAGGAAGTGTTCTCACTAAGCATTTCAGATTCTTTAACAATGTCCTTCTACCACTTTCCTGTTTTGCTCTCAACTTACTACTGTTGCTGAAATGATGAAATGAGTTCAAAGAGCACACAGTTAACTCAGCAGAGGAGAGACAGGGGAAGAGGATATTGAATTTTGACCTTTCCAATAAACAAAACAACCGTGTCTACACAGGCCAAATAAAACATACTCACCCGCTGAACCCCCTGCAAGAGGTTCACACAATGTCTGGCCAGTTCTGTAGCAGAAGTACTGTTTCTAGCTGTTAATCAATCGCAAGAACAATTGCAGATTATTCCAGTTCTTCCAGGAAATTCTGGAATAGACCCTGGTGTTTTTGACTTGTGGACAGTGGTGGAACACATGGACCACTGTTAGCTTAACAAAATTTCATAAACTTTGACTTCTCCATGGAGTTTTTATAAAAAAACATTTTAACTAATAAAGAAAATCTGTTCCTGGTTTGAAAGTATTATTTCCTGTTTCACTGGGTGGTCTTTACTTTGAAAGTAGTTGTTCTACTCCAGAAACTGTGTTTCTGTGGCACAAACTGTGTTAAATTGGTGGAGAACAGAAACCTTTGTAGATTCAATCAGCTTATTTTGTATTTAGAGGAAGAGTGCTACAGACAACTATTTTTGGGTCTTTCAGCCATTTTGGCTAATTAGCAGCAGGTGTGGGAAATGTAGTCTAACAGCAGGACCTTTTGCAATCTCTACCATTGGGGGCCTGGCCTTCACAAACTACAGTTAAAGATGACTGTGATTAGTGTTAGGGATTTAGTGTTAGAGGAAGGGGAGCAGGGAAATGCTCAGGAATTGGAGGGAGAAGAAGAATCAGATGATGAGGTTTTATAAATGCCCACATTTCTAGAGAGACTAGAGGAG